TCCATAAGGAGCTTGAACTATTAAAAAAAACCCCAACAAAACAGATCAGTCCACATTCCAACTTTAAAAATAGACATTCATATCACACGATATTAAATAAAAACCAAATGAGAAGATAAAGAAACAGGGTAAAACAAATGGCAGACAACTTCGAACTTCAACAGCTTGTGTTTTGTTCTACAAACTTTTATCTTTCATTTTCTAGTAGATATGTAAAAGCCTTCTTCCTGTGTTTCCAAAATGGCAAGTTTTCTTTAGGTTTGGTAAAGGGGGGGGGGGGGATAAATACACTAGATCTAGTCTCTGTTCCTATGATGGAAACAGTCAGGGATAAAGTGAACAAGTTATATGGTAGAGGTATACAAGACGGATACCAGAAATTAGAAAATACTCTATAAAGATTAATATCCTTTAGTTGAAATACATTTTTATTGTGTTTAAATTTATTAGAAGACTTTGAAAGATAAACCTGTTAAACATCCTGAAAGGAAATGGTGAGTTATCAGTATATCACATAAGATTACCAGAAACTTAACATTTTGAAATGTTCATCTAATACATCAGCATCTACTTTCAAGTTTATACTGTGTTACCTAGTTTGAAAAGATTTCAGATTTTCTGCAAAGCAACTTTACTTACATCTAAGTACTGTTTTACTATACTCCTCTTCACTTCTTCAGTGATCTTGGAATTAGCCATATCACTCCGCAGAAAATCCAGAGTTTGTTTTGGATGGAAATGAACTCCTGTCTTCCTGTTTATCGCTTTATCATAAACTTTTGCAGATTCAGATGGAGAGTATTTCTGAATTTTACTGTTTAAAGAAAACAAAAGGGAAGAGCTTTTAAGGAAAGTCCAAAGTAATTTTCAGCAAAAGCTTTTAAAATCTTCAATATAAGTAGTTATATTTTAATCATTCCATATACAATAGACATCCTGGTAAGAAATGAAAGAAATAAGCCAAAGTTTCATCACATTCAACCTATTACATTGATGTTTTTTCTCTTATACAAATCTATTGCTTAAACAGTTATTAACAATCAACTTTAAAAAAAAAACTAAAAAAACCCCAACTTCCAACCTTAATCCTTACAAAGAACTTGCTAGATAACAAGATGGCCTTATTATCTAAATATCCTTACCTATCAGAGAATCCACAGAGGTTCTTTAAATGCTGTTTCAGCATCAACAGTAATAATATGCCTTGGGAGACATTTGCAAATTCAATTAAAGGAGCTGAATTTTCTGGTAAACATTTCATCACAGCATTTATGTCATTTTCTTCATCAGAATCTGAATCAGAGTCTACTCGTTTCCGTAACCTCCGAGGCTTAGAAGCTTCCTCCTCGCTTTCACTCTCACTACCACTGTTACTGTCACTCTCAGTCTCCTCGTCTGATGAAGGCTTTCTTTCCTTTTTTTTGTCTTTCACCATAGACTGCGAGACATAGAAGTTAACACACATTCCAAAATTAGGGTAAGTAGCCATGTACATTTCTAAAAAAATCTTTCCAAAATAATTATTGGCTTAAATTAGGAAGAATTCCCTGAATAATGTTATTAATTCATAACTTAATATTCAAAGATTAAAATTATTTATGACAAAAAGATGCTGAATCATAACCCTGAAGGCCCCTGAAAAGCTGATCCACATTTTTTTGCAAAGTGGTTACAGAAGGAACTGAAACAATAAGTACTCCACTGGCATGTTATTCTTAAAAAGACTGCTCAAGTTTGTTAGCGGAGACAGTACAATGCAGTAGAAGGCCAAATAAAATAAATCATGAAGAAAATTCTATTTTGTTTCACCTGAATATAATTTTTGCAAAAATATGTTACACATATTTCCATATGTACTTTGGTACAGACTAGTCCAAGTTGGTTTAAATCATAGAATCATAGAACGGTTCAGGTTAGAAGGAACCTTAAAGATCACCTAGTTCCAAACCCCTGCCCTGGGCAGGGACACCTCCCACTAGACCAGGTTGCCCAAGGCCACCTCCAGCCTGGCCTTGAACACCTCCAGGGATGGGGCCTCAACAACCTCTCTGGGCAACCTGTTCCAGTGCCTCACCACCCTCAGAGTGAAAAATTGCTTCCTGATATCTAAGCTAAATCTCTCCTTTTCCAGTTTGAAGCCATTCCCCCTCATCCTATCACTACATGCCCTTGTAAAAAGTCCCTCTCCAGCTTTCTTGTAGGCCCCTTTAGATACTGGAAGACCTCCCCGGAGCCTTCTCTTCTCCAGGCTGAACAACCCCAACTCTCTCAGCCTGTCTTCATAGGAGAGGTGCTC